GTGGATGTACTCTCCGGCCTTCTTCAAGTGAATTTGGAATTTCGAACCGAACCCTTTATTTCCTCCAATGGGGTAGATTGAAGTAATCCAGTGACTTGCACCAAAGGAGTTGTGAGTTCAATACCTGCCTACAGCAAAGGTGAACAAAAACTTAGAGAGTTGATTTAGTAAAGGGAAATAACTGAAACTGACATATCAAGAAAGTAGAACAATCTACCCCGGTGGACAAAATAAAGGGACAATTCGAATTTTTAAAAAGTATATCACCTGAAAAAGGCTGGAGCGTGTAACAGTCGAAACGTTGTGAATATGACAAAGATGTGGACAACAGTCCGAACAATGTAAACAGTGTAAATGTTTTGTTTTTTTTACTTTGTTTGTCATTATCCAATTCAATTTCTTCTTCATTTGTTATTTCTGTTTCATATTATTCTCCCAGACAAATTGTTTCCATATTCATCTATCTTCAAACTTTGTAATCGAAATAATTTGCTTTATTGTCACGTACATTTTCCGAATTTTCCCACTAATAAATTTTATTCTTCCATCCTATACATTTTTTTTCCATTTTTCATTTTATTCCTTCACTGTGTATTCCACTCCCCAATCTAATATTTCTCTAATCCAATATTGCCTTTAATCCAATCCTGCCAAAATCTGATTTTCTTTTTCAACCATTATACTCTTCGATTCCCCGGATAATATAGGCATCACCTTTCCAATAATCTCAAAATCCCGCAGTCTTAATTATATTATATTCTCTCAATCTGTGTTCCGTAGTTGTTTCTGGGAGTGATGGAGAAAATGAGGATTGTTCTCTCTCGTCATTGCATTTGAAGCAGATAATAATAATAATAATAATAATAATAATAATAATAATAGTAGTAGTAGTAGTAGTAATAATAATAAATATTAATAAATAGGTCATAAAATACAAGGGTAACAAATGCAATTCGGGGAATAATTATTTCATTATGACTTGCATATCACAGCCGTGTGTTATTTTCCTGTGACCAAATTCAATCAGAAGCACTTTGTCTGCTTCCTCGTTTCTTTCCTTTATGTCTCAATTATTTAACAGACTAAAACAGATTTTGGTACGATTTCTATATGTGATTTTATTTCAGAACATTTCTAAGTACTTATTTCAAACTATAAGAACAGGCAGTATCCTTTTTATTGATATAAATAACTTTTATTTGTCAACTTCTCTATACCATTTCATCGGGTTATCTGTCTATTCGTCTGCATGCGAATTATGGACAGTTAAACTATTTCTATTTGCCCTATGAAATGCCTCATATATATATTGTGAGACCGGAACTACCTACACAATAGACTCTTCCAGGTCTATATTAAGTATGCGACACAACACTCTAGAGTCAGAGACACAGAGACAGAGAGTGACACAGAGACACAGTGAGATTCGCGTACGACTACCAGGATTGGAAACTAACATATAGTAAGCTCCGCTTACACTATCTCTGTAACCTGATTTTAATATATCTTTCTTAGATCTAATCCGTGTTCCGTGTTTTACTTCTGTGGTCTCAACTTTGGCCCCACATCATATATATATATATATATATATATATATATATATATATATATATATATGTGTGTGTGGGGGGTCTGTTCAAAAGCAAAACAATGTCAGTGCGCATTAAAGGCAATATATATATATATATATATATATATATATATATAATTTATACATTTATTTATCTATCTATCTATCTATCTATATATATATATATATATATATATATATATATATATATATATATATATAATTTATACATTTATCTATCTATCTATCTATCTATCTATATATATATATATATATATATATATATATATATATATATATATATATATATTTGTATATATCGTGACATAGTGGTTGGGATTTCAGTCCCTGGGTTGGGCTTTCTACTTGCAAACGTGCGAGCAATAACTGAAAAGTATTAAATAAAAATAAGAACCAGACGATATCTCTAGACATGAGCAATCGAATAATTAAATAAAGAGCAGATCCAGATCGATATACACCCGAAGATGGCCGGAAAGCACAACGACCGAAACATTGTCATAATAAAGGTAAAGATGACGACAATAGTCCGACTTTGAATAGTGTAAATAATAACTTCTCATCTCAGAAATTTAGATAAGAATTATATACACCTAGCGTTGAATATAACAAACAAGATGAGAATACTGGTCCTAGAAGCAAAGTATATAATAATTACTCACCTTAATGATTTCTATGTCGATTGGTTTTTATTCTTCAAGGATATTTCTGTTGCGGTTATTGAAATCAAATATACGTTGGTTTTACTTCTTCCCATTCATTCAACACTCTTACAAACAGAGCAGCTGTTTCATTCATGCCATTAACACCAATGGGTGTTCATTCTTTCATGCATTAGTAAAGTATGGCAAAACAAATGGCAATACTATCTCTCAGAATTTCGCCTTTAAATCTGATTAATTCAAGCCGAGAATCTAACAGAAAATCCCAGCGAAGAAAGAGTTGAATTACTTTGGAACTTTTTCCCGCTACTGATTCATTATTTCGTCATTTCACTCCAAGCAAGGCGGGAGTGCCACTAGTTGGTAGGGGGTTAACTAGAGTGAAGGCGAGGAAAAAAAAAGCTGTGTATAGGGGGAGTGAGAAAAAGAATAAAAGATGAACGGAGTTCAAGACATCAGTAGATGGCGATTGACATTGACATTACATTTAAATTTTTGAAGATTATAGTTATCAGGGAATCAAGTAAATGGGAGTTCCACAGGTGGAAAGGGCGAGAAAAGAATCAGTTGGAGTAGAAGTGGCGGTTTCGTTTAACTATTTCAACGATAAAAGGGTGGCAACTAGATGCTAGTCTAGTTACACGCTTAAATACATGCGGTCGGGGCACCAAGGAAAAATGCTCAAAAGAACAGTTGCCATGAAAATATTTGTAGAAAAGACAGGTGGAAGCCACATCACGTCGGTGAGAGAGTGACTGAAGTCGAGATGCCAAATCAGGATTGATTACTTTGCAGTTGTTCCTTTGGATTTTGTCGATAACCTCAAGATGAACAGCTGGGGCACCAAACCATATATGGCAATAGTACTCAATTTTGTCAGCATAATATATATTTTTCGGTGTTCATAAATCTTATATGTCCTTTCATGACGTGGGAGTTGATAACTTTCCACACGCTTTTGTCTTTAGTAATTTGCGACCATTTATCACACCTCTTTTCCGTCTTCCGCCATGCATCCTCATAAAATTGGTAAGTAGATTACTTGCTAGTCTTTCCCGATTCTCTTGTCTTCAGCATGTCCTGTGAGTGTTAAATTCTCTAGGCCCTATTTCCTCGGCATGTGTTCCAGATATTATATTTTATCTCACATTATATTACTATAGTAGATACTGAATTTAAGATTAAGCAATCGCATTCGACGGAATCTAGCGTTGGCCGATGAAGTGTTTGAGATGCCAAATACAAGATTTAGCAAATAACTCAGTTAATTTTTAATAGATATATAATTTATAATCCTTTTGTAAATCCAAAATTAGTTGATGGCTGAAAACTACATTGCAGAACTCAGCGCGCACCATTACTGACTCTGACTTGTGCTAATACGCGAACCAATTGCCTGATACATACTGAGGAGTGTCTGTTACAGAGTTAGAATCAGGGTGTGAATAATATTTTCTATGGAATTGTCGGCGATGAAATTAGCTTCCTCGATGCATTTCGATGGTAACGAGAAAAGTGGTTAGTCACATGGTAGGAAGCAAAATAAACCTATCAAGGGACGAATGAAATCAACGAATCAATAAGTATCATATGGAGGTGGTGTCTCGATAAAATTACTGTGGAGAAAGTAACGGGAAATATCTCTATTCTTCCCAAGCATCAGCATGACAACAATAATGTAGGTAAATGCGATGAGAATTTAACTATATTTGTATATGTAATTAAATTTTCTTCTGACTACATGAGTGTGTGGAAGTCTTATCGACTTCTTTCATAAATCAATTGTAATGACCAAATATTCAACTTTTGGGGTTATTTTCTTTCTTGGTTGAAGCTTAGAACTTTTCAATATTCTTTCATTTATGTATGCATATACATATTTAAAATATATATCGATAAAGAAATTTTCTTATATTTATATATTTAATATACGTGACTTTATAAAGACACGCAGCTCCATTACTCAGTTACTTCTCACCATGCGTCCTATACGGACAATTCCACTATTAAAAGTGTGAATACCTCAACAGACCTTTATTATATTTGCTAACGTAAGAAAGCATATTTGCTTTTGAGAACTTTTGATATACAGCTGTGTCTGCAAAATTCTTTGCCCATAGATTTGGCATTCAGTTTGTACAGAGTTTCGAGAAGAGAGAAACAAGAAACTAGAGAATGTCTTCGAGGAGCAATGTCAGAAAACGCACTCCGAAAGTAATAGAAAACGGAGCTTCGATTTCAAATATTTGGTTTCGTTGTTCATAGTGATACAACCTAGTTTTACTTTCACTTTCCACGTTCCACGCAAAAAGAAAGTAAACCGTACTTGAAAGGAGAAAAAAGAAAGAGTAAAGAATAGTAACAAAAAAGGAAAAATGATAAATAAACAAAGAAAATAAGATAGAAGGAATACAAAGGCAAGAAATGGTTTCGTTGTTCATAGTGATACAACCTAGTTTTACTTTCACTTCCACCATGGAAAAAGAAAGTAAAATTGCTCTCGAAAAGAGAGAAAAAAAAAGAAAGAATAAAGAATATTAACAAAAAAAGAAAAGATAAATAAACAAAGTAAATAAGATATAATGAATACAAAGGCAAGACATACAAAAGAGAAAGAAGGATAGAAGGTAAAAACCTTTCAAGAAAGAAAACTAAGAAAGAGAAGCAATAAGAGAAAAAAAATCAAACCAAGAAACAAAGAAGAAACAAAAAATATAAAAATATGAAAACGAGGGCGTATTAGCATATTAAAAAATAACCTGTATAATAATTTTGACGTATAAAATGATGATAAGAAAAATATAGAAAGAAATATGAACTAGGGAATAAAAACGGGAGGAAAAAAGAGATTGCTTACCGTCATCACAACGAAAATAATTAAGAATATATTGGTGAAAAGATAAAGATATGAGAGGAGAAATGAACACTACATAAGCAGGTGAAAAAATAAATGACAGAAAAAGGAAGTAAAGGAAGAAGATATAATGGGAAATCTAAACGACTAAAATAAAGCGATATGAGGAGCGTGGAATGAAAGATGATACAAGGATAAAAACACATAGAAAATAAGATCGTAAAAATAAGGAATTAAATCAATATGAGACCATAAAATAACACGCGATATAAAAATGAAGAAATAAAAATCGAGGTCTCGGAAAAGAAGAATGATATTTGAAGGACCTGCTATTATAAGAAGGAAGAGTAAAGAGTGAAATGCAGGCGCGGTAGAATAAATGAAGAAAGAAAAGAAAAAATTGAAGAATAAGTATTCCATTATAAAACGAAAAGCAGCTAAAAAGGAACATAGATAAAAGGAAGAAAAATAAAAAAAAAAGATAAAGGAATAGGCGACAAGAGAAAATGTAAAAAAGAAAAAGAAAATACTACGTGTAAAAAGACTGTAATAATCGAGGATGAAGCGAAGGAAAGAAAGAATGATATAAGAAAAGAAGAATTGTTGAGCTGAAAGCAAAAGTAACTGAGGAAGAGAAAAAAGGAGAGCGCTGAAAAGAAATAAACAAGGAGTCAATGGAATGAATTAGATGAAAATAAGGTTGAAGAAAAGGAAAGAAAACCAAGTCAAAGAATTTATGACCAAAAAGAGGCTAATGAAAAAGATAGTAAAGAAGAAAAAGTAAAAATAAATGTATTGTATAGAGCTGGGCTTCTCAAACATGATGGAATAAGCTTACAGGAAGATTTCAGAATTTAAGGGCGGGAATTTTTACTTTTTCTGATTTTATTTACAGAAGCTCATCATGAGTGTAAAAAAAAGTCCTATATAAAAATAAACCATGGAAATATATATGTCTTAATACGAAAATATGAAAATTTCCAATAATATATGAATATTATTGGGAGTCGGACATTCTTGAATAGAAGGGAAAATGACTTTCTGTCGTATTATGAAAATGCTGTATTGGACAACATTGATTGAGAATCACTAATATAGAGAAAGATAAAATTTAAATAAGAGTTATCAAGAAAGACACGATTACAATGATACATACTAAAAGCAACAGTGTTAAATGAAGTAAAAAATGACAATGAAATCAAACTACCAGAAGGAAGAAAATGAGAGTTTAGAATTTAAGAAACATCTTAAATTTTACATTATTTACATTATTCGTACTAATGTTCTAATCCTTGTCGCCATATTTATCACAACGTTTCGGCTTCAGGTGGTTGGAATTTCGAACTGAACCCTTTATTTCGCTCACTGTTCTAGTTCCACGTGCCATGTTTCAAGGACACATAGCGTTGGTTAGGTCCAGTGACCCAAATAGTGTGAGTTCAATACCCGGTTAAGGCAGTGGAGAACTTTCAGAGGGAAATTAGCGGGAGATAACTGATAACTGACATCCATCAAAACATGGCACGTGGAACTAGAACAGTGAGCGAAATAAATTCGAAATTCCAACCACCTGAAGCCGAAACGTTGTGATAAATATGGCGACAAAGATGAGGACAATATTCCGAATAATGTAAATAATGTACATCATACCTCATCTCAGAAATATAGACAGAATCTTAACATTTCTTAAAATCAAATAATAAAAACAATCTTATGTTACTTAATAGTCATACAACAAACTCAATGGTCTATAAATAATAAAAAAATATAATTTAAGAGCCTTCATCCTCAAATTTACGAAGGCATGTCAAAAATTATTCAAAATATCGCCATAATATATCTTTAGTACCATCGTACAAATAAATATTGATATCTCTAGACAAGAGTTTATTTATTGTGCAAAATACACAATTATGGCACAAGGCCAAAATGGGAAGGGGTTGAGGCTGACCACCACTAACTATCTTATACCTAGTTAATCCTATTCACGACCCATTCATTCATTACAATTTCCACATTCACCACAAGAACTCGTCCGTCACCAATCAATCCTCCATGCACCACAATACCTCATTTTTACTAGGGAGACCTACAAAACGCGCCCCGTGACAGAAAAAAATAAGACAAGTGTGTGGACAATTATTGTCTTTCCCTCGTATATAGATAAAGACCACACACGTCATAATTTGGCTACGTCACAACGTTCCTTGCATACGTCACAACACTCATCATTTGTCTGCCATAATGCAGAAAGTTGAAGAGTTAACGATATTTCTTCCGAAATGAACTTCGAACAATTTCTGATGGAATTTCTTCATTATCTGAAAAGCTGTATTTGTAATTTGGAAAAGTTCATCAGTAAAATTAATCGACATCACAAAATGAATGTTGTCTTTATTAATATTTGCCATAAAGAACATTTGCTTCCGAAAAACAATTTTTTTAATAAATAAACATATTTTAAAGAATAAACGTGTTTGTGTAGACGACCTGATTTTAAGTGTGAATTACATCCACTAACCTGCGCATTCAAGAATAGTACAAAAGAGAACGTATCCTCTAGTGAGTATCGAACCTGCACCGTCTTTGTCTGATCTGGCATGCTTTAGTCTCGGCTATAATTTAATCCACAGACCTCTTCACTGACCAGTAAGGTTTCATTATCCTTGGAAGGAATACATAACTTGTGGCCCTCGTTAAATTGAACCTTGCTCTGCATGGTCGAATGGTTTAACGCACGCTGGATCAAATGGTTTGTTCCCCTACAAAGAAGAATCTTGGAGGGCACATTTTCTTTATTACTAATCTCGAACACGCAGGTCGATAGATGTAATTGACACAGTTTAAAAAAAGGGTGTCTATACAAACACATTTATTCACTAAAATATAACGTTGAAGTAATAAGAAATAATGTCTGATTAAAATTAAAGATCCACTGTTTTGGCCTGGCGATTGCATTTCAGCATGAAATCGGGTGTCGCCGCTGCGTGTTGACCTTAATGTTCCGGAGTGAATTGCTGAGACAAAAAAGTTTTTATCTTAGTAATTCACCCCTGAGATTGAAATGAAAATAAAATAAGAAAAAAATCTACGTGCCTTCCTTAATGAATTTAATATCAACATTAAGAAGTTGATCCGAGAATTCGAGAGGATTAAAATAAAATTAATGTCCTAATGTGTCCAGATTATTCAACCAAACATGGCTGAATGAAGATATGTTGGATACATATATATATATATATATATATATATATATATATATATATAGAGAGAGAGAGAGAGAGAGAGAGAGAGGGTATTTAAAGTAAAATAGAAGTGCATTTAGCGTAAGGTTTATTGGCATGAATCAGATAGCCGAGTTAAATTTCCAACTTTGTTGAATTTTGTCATTCAAAAGGCATGAAATTATATATTATATAGGTAAGTAATAAGGAAGAATGTACTCTATATTCTTGGATGATAGGCAGTATAATGGAAGGACTAATTTAAATTCAAAAGCATTGAGAAGATAATTGCAAATTATTCAATTTCCTTTCCCAAGAGGTCATAGCGTTTCATAAATTTTAAAGAAAAATGAAAATGTGGATCATCATGATCACCTACGTATTTGTAGAACATATCATTTATAAACAGCGCCTTCCAAAAGTATCTAGAAACAGGAATATTTTCATTAGAAACAAAGGAAAGAATACTGAATTGCAATTTCCTGGCAGATGAAGAAGAGACTTGAGACAAAAGAGATGCCCTTAGAAAAGAGGATAGTGAAAATTCCATGGACGTAACATATGGGAAATGTGAAATTTCTAAAGAAAATAGAAACAAACAGGACATTATTACTTAGAATCTGAAGCAAATATTTGGAACCTCTGGGACACATAATGAGGAAAGATGGTTTAGGCAATTTGATCCTTACAGAATATAATGAGGACATGAGGGGGCAGATGGAATGATTGAGTAACCTACTTAGCACGTTTGTATAAAGAGATGGCAGGACAGGGAGAGTTAATGAGAAAACAAACATTGCTAAGAAATATAAACGATAGGAAGTTGTAGAGAGGCATAATCGCTCACGAGCAAGAAGGAACACGGTATAAAAAAAGAGCATATAATAGATATAGAGATAGAAAAAAAAAGAGAAAGAAAATCTATTGTAATGTTGGGCGCAATTCGCTAGCTTGTTTCTTGTGAACGGGGCCAGACTTGAGTTTCTTTTTGAAGTCTCCTTTTGACGCAACGAGACGGCTTTCTGACGGACGCCTCACCGGTTAAGCTAGACTCTCTTTGTTTACTAGTGAATGTGAGTAATTGTTGTTCCTGGCCTTCTCCTGGCGTTTTCTTATGATCTCTGTCAAGATTCTCAGCTTCCTCAGTTTGTTTTTATCCCCTTTTCATCTCGACTGGATCATCCATTGATATTTTCTCCACTTCGTAATTTACTTTATCCTTCCCTCTCCTCTAGTGAGAGAGCTTCTTGATTCTACTTCTTGACAAAATACAGCGGCACTCTTATTTTTGTGGCGTAGGCGGGTCGTACTAACATATTTTATTTTTAGTTTGAATGTTTTGTCATATTTTAGTTTCTTTTGTGGGTTTATCCCCTACCACTTAATTTCATGTAATTAAATTTTTATATATTGTTATAAAAATGATAAAACACAAAAAGATGAACATTTGTTATATGATGAAATTACTATGACAAGTGTTTGTTTGTAGTGTCGCTGTGAATATGTGGTATTGTGGTATATGGTAGATTGAATGACGATGGATATCTTCTTGTGGTGAATGAGGAAATTGTAATGGATGAATAGGTCAAGAATTGGATTAGCTAGGTTTAAGAAACTTAGTGTAGACCAGCCTCACCCCACTTTGGTCACGTGCCACAAACGATGCAAATGTGGGTACTTGCTATATTTATAAGTAGGAACAGTCCATTGTCACAGCAGTAGGGAGAAGCAGGAAGTTCGCAGAGTTCCACTCTGCAACAAAAATAAACGTGAAGGATTAAATCAAAATGCAATAATAACAGCCCAAATTACAGATCCTGGATTATGTCAGATTAGGATTTTCACTCAGTTTCTCACCAGATCAAGGAAGCTAAATGTATGGTTGTTCTGACCACTGAATATTGACCTATCATCTGAATCTGGTTTTGAAAGCGTGGAAAAGATTTTTAATACAAGCGTTTATATAAACCAACGCCTCAGCGAGAAGTTGGGCTTCCTCTCGGACATTGAAGAGAATGTAAGGAGTATTTTTTTCAAAGAGGACCCTAGGAGATCGCACCCACTCAAGAGTAGTTCACGAAGCCAGTTCTGAAATAAAAGTTAATATAAAAGATGAAAGATTCAAGTCACATGTTATTTATTGGAGATTACGGAAAAAATCATTCTTATTCTAAAAAAGTGTTAATACAATATTCTCTCGCCCCAAATATTCTAACAATCTCAAATAGCTTTCCGGTTTAAATAAGCACAAAATATTAAAACGTAAAAAAATCACTAAGATAATTAGGGTACGTGTTATTATTTAATGACAGCAGTTTATTTAATTACACACATATAACTCTCCACAGCTTTCGATTCCTCTAAGCAGTTGTTGCCCCCTTAATATCTACTTCTGTTCAGTCAAAATAGTACAAACGATAATTGAACAAATTAGAAAATGAATACAAAGTAACTGACTTCGTTCATGTAAATTTGATAAATGAGCAAAGGCAGAAAAGAAGAGACCCGACGATATACACAGAAAAGGAATTGCCACAAGATAAATAGGTAAGTTCCGGAAGTGCGCGGGAAGAAGCAAATACGCTTGCGCACTGAAAG